CGCTGGGAGCGGGACCGGCATCGCGGGGAGGCTGCTCAGAAAACTAGCCCCCCGCTTGGCTTTGCCCCCCACCCCCCAGTTTTCGCTTTCTGGCTTTTGCTCCGCTAGCTGACCATGTGTCTTTTTTGTTTCTCTTCAGCGCTACAGAGAGCCAACAGTTTTCACTCCACGGCATTAAATAAGTATCAGAATTGGAGAAGAAAACTCCAAACGAGTGAGTGAAGCCTGAGAAGTGATGTGTCTTCTATTTATATATAGTCTATCCTGTCTCTTAAATGCCTGTTTCTCCCTCTTCCCTTTAAAAGTTTATATTTTTGGAGCGCTGGCTGGGAAAATGAAGATCTAAAAATGCACCAAATATTTCTTTTCCATTTTCTTGTCTTGAAAAGATCAAATTCCCTTTTTGTGTGACTGTTCCCTACATTATTACACCCACTGGCAGGTTGTGTCTGCGCTAATTCTCCAGCCAAGAAAATGCACCCCTACCCCAGAGCCATGTATTCTGTCTCTAGCTCTGCCTGCACTGATTGCTTTTGATTAGGTGCAATGCTGGGTCTAACATTTTGAGTATTACGTATTAGAAATGCTCCTGGAGGCATCTATTTACACCTATCTACAGGTGATTTATCACCTCTTTTTTGGCTGGAAGAAAACAGATGATATTTCTGGGTTACTGAAAGGGAGAGAGTACTAAGAGCCATCCCAGGAGGTGAGCTGGTGAAAATGAGCATTACTAGCAGGTTCACTTGGTTTGGGCTGACAGTCCCTGCCTGTGGGAATCGCACAGGAATGCAGTGATTTCAACAGCAATTGCATCGGTGCTTGATTCACTTCTGAAACACAGTGTGGTCACTCCTCACAGCTGGGCTGCATCTAAGGAGTCCTTCTGGGCTGCAGTCCCAAAACAAGCCAGTCATCCCCAGTCACACCTCTGCTGCTTGTAACAGGGTCGCCTGCCTGCCTCGGCACTGCCTGTCTGCAATTGCACCCTGTGCCTGCCCAGTCTCCACTAAGAACTTGCAGGAACCTGCCAAGATTGATCATACCAGTATAGGAGCTGGGTGAGTTTACCAGCATCCCAAACCCTCTCAAAACTTGGTTAGAAACACAGCTGTATCTGTTGGACTGGGGTGTTGACAGCCTTAAGTATAAAACATGAACATACAGCAGTGGAAAGAAGGGATTTGTGCATGTGACAGTGTGCCACAGTTTCTGGGCATGGAGACAGCGGGTTTTGGGGAATGGTGGTGACAGCCACTCTTTAGCCCTGCCCTCAGCTGCCCTTTGCAGCGAGGGGGATTTCTGCTGCTGCTCAGAGTCCCAGTTGCTTTCAGAGAAGTGAAGGCTCTGCTGCCAACACAAGTAGGATCCCTGTGTGTGTTATGGGACCAGCGTTGAAGCAGAGGCATCTTGGCTTGCTTGGTTTGAATGCACAAACAAGCTTCAAAATTAGTTGCAAGTACCCACTGTGGGATGAATATTTATACCCCTAAAAAGGAGACAAGCTGCTTCTCTCCTTCCTGGCACTGGCCTCTCATCTGTGTCAGATGCTTTCAGGTACATGTGAGCGCTGTCGCTACCACCCCTGTGGTCCCTTGGAGACCTCTGGTGCCACACATCTGGGATAATGCAATAAACCTCAGCAGAGGATGCACGGGGCTATTGCATGATCCTGAGAGGATGCTCCCACCAAGCTCAACTTCAGGAAACCATCACTTGTGATGAGCTGTCCCCAAAGAGGCAGTTGTGGCAGATGGGCTGCGACTGGGGCTGCGGTCCCTGCGATTCACTGCACCTCTGAGGCGCAGGGGACTCGCTGTGGCTGTGAGGCCTCTCTGGAGGTGGGGGGGGAAGGCTGTGCTGTGCCCAGGACAGGGAGGCAGAGCAGGGTGCCCTCCAAGTCTTTTGGCATCTGTGTCAGTCTTGGGGCTGTCTGAGCACTGTACAGCATTTGAGGACTGGCTTATAATCAGGTGTTGGCTTTACCAAAGGCTTGGATTTTAAATCTTGCCTTAATTGATCTTGCTTTTTAAAAGATGAAAAAAAAGAAGATGCTTATTCCAGATTTGAGGGTAAAAAAAGACAGACACTGAGAGAGAAGAGATCAGAAGACATGGGGTTACTCTTAATTTCAACTAATTTTCAGCTTGTTCCCAGCAAATATGCTATTTAATCGTTTGCCAATTAATTTTCCCATCATTTTATTAAAATCTTCGTGTGCCTCCAAAGGGCTCTAGAGGGAGCTAAAAGCCTTTGAGAGGGAAGTGATGCGCTGCATGAATTTGTCTGAACCTCAAGTATGCTGTTAAAACGAGGTGTAAAGCACGTTCAGTGTATACTGGGAACAGAATAAAGGCATTTTGTACTCTCTGGAGGAACACTGTAAGTCTTAGTTTCTATATTTAATCCGCTTAATATTTGGTTACAAGAATTCATATGATCATTAGTCACATGAAAGAAAAATCTGTCTCCTTTTCAGACTTATTTCCCAAAACACATATGTTTCATAAACAGCATGAGATACGCAGCCAAGGAAAGGAAATCAGTGTCATGGCTATATTGACTGAAAGGCTCAGAGCAGGATATTACCTTTCAAAATCTTTAACCTCTGTTGCATGGCCACAGGGAACACCATGCTCTTAATTTATCTTGGTCACTTGGAGTAGCTTTTGGGCCAAGTAGATCATGACAGTGCCCTAGGGAACTTTTTTTTTAAAATCTTGTTTTGAATGTGAAGCTGCAAAAATGGGTTCAGCATCTTAGTGGGAATAAATCCATTATCTCTGTGAAAGACTGCAAGCTGTGGCTTTGTGCAAAGGCATGTTCTGGCATGTGCAGGCACTGTCCTTGTAAGCTAATGCTGTAGTGGGAAGCAGTTCTCCCCATGGGCATGTGCCATTACCCTGCAGACCCCTGGGCTGTGGGGTTTATGCCCTTATCAGTCCTACCGCTGCTGCAGAGGTGGTTTCCCCTTGGTGTGCTGAGCCATGATGTTTGCCTGTGTCAGGAGATGAAGGGCTTTAGTGGACCGGGCTAAACCCCGCCAGCTCACTTATACAGGCAACAGTGGGATTTTTTTATCCTAATTCTGGATTCTCACATTTTCCCATGGATCTGTATTTGCTATATAGAATATAAAGGTCCTTAATGAGCTCCAGCGCAACATTTCCCTCATTTTTAACTGAATGTAGCAAATTGCGTCAAGATTGGGAACGAGCAGGTGAAACACTGAGAGGAAAGGAAAGTTGGCCTCTCTCCCTGGTTTGCCTTTTCTGGAGTCCACGTGCAGGAACTGCCTTCTCTCTCTGGTGTGTTGCTTTTGTTCTTATGCAGCTTTTAGTCCCTACATAGAAGAACCAAAGTTTGCTTTGGGAACCTTTGTGGGTTCCAGAACTAATAATTGGGTTGGGGAGTTAATAATTCAGCTATAAATATACTTGTCATGTTAAAGCTTGACATGGTAATATCTTGGCTCAGGGTACTTTTCTTCTGCCCAAAGATTATTTATTACGTAAAATTCCCACAGGCACAAATACTAGAGAGCTTTCCTGACTCCAAGTGCAAGTTACCTCCCTACTTTTTTTCTTCCAGCAGGTTTAAGTCTGTGTGTGCTAGTTTTGGTTCAAGGCTGTTAGCAATTAGTTACCTTGCTTGATCCTCAGAGAGCCTGCAGGGCGCTGCCCGCTGGCCTGGCTCGGGAGAGACTGCAGGATAGTTTCTGCCCTTAGTGCCTGCAGGTGGTTGCACTTCCCATTTCGTTCCCAGTCTGATGGACAGTCCTCTCAGAAGTCATCCATTTTTTTAATTTCTCAGAAATACCCAAAGCTTCAAAAGTTGCTGGTTGTTTTAACTGCCTCTGCTTTTATGGTCTGGAAGCTGTTTAAAGAGGGCTGGTTTTCCAGAAAGTTTCCTGGAACTCAAAGGCTGCTTCACTACTTCCAGCCAAAAAGTCGAAGCAGTTCAGGTCCACCACTGAAAATGCCAACATGTGTTTGGCACAGCATGCACACACATGTGAGTGAGGCCACAAACTTCATTACTGTAGGTCAGCACTTCAGGTACAACTTGTATCCAGATGACTCTTTCTTCTCTTGTTCTTTAATTGCAAACTTTATTTAGGACAAAACCAATACAAATATGATGGTAAAATCTGTCTTTGGCAGGTTTCCCTCTACTGTCCGGCAAGAAGCCTGGGTTGCACTGGAAGGACAGCTCAGCCAGCTGTCAGAGTGGTCCTGGAGAGGATCACTCACAAACACAGGTACGAAGGAGAATTGTGCAAAGCAAAACTAGTTGTAACCACTGTTGGGGCATGTCTGCTCTCAGCAGGCCATCTGAGCACCCTCTGCTCTTTCAAATAGCTATGGTCCTCACAGCAACCACTAAAGCTGAAGTTATGCCTGTGCTATACATAGGGAAGAGCCTTTGTTCTGATTGATATAACCATTCCCAAATCATGTAGCTAAGTGGCATTTGCTTTCTGTGGGAATCAGACCTCAATCACACTGAGAGTTAGGCACTGACCTGTTGCATCAGCCAACATGTAGGCATCACCACCTTGCCCTTCCCTTAACTGCTACTAGGATTTCCTTTGTGCCACAGTTTCTGCCCAAAGGAGAGGAAACACCCCAAATCTGTCCCCAGTGCTCCTGAGATGGCTCTTGGTCAGCCCATGTGCTTGTAGGGCTGGATGGAGATGAGCCTTCATGTGTGGCATGTTGGGCAAGGCCAGGTGCCAGCAGCGGTGGGGTGAGGGGATCACATTGGGGTGGCTTAAATGCCACTTCCATCACCAGGGGAAAGGCAAGTGCCAGCACTGGCCTTGGAGAGCAAATCTGGGAGTGGAGGTAAGCGGTTGCATAGTGCTGGCCATAGCCAACCTGGAGTAGGGAGACCGGGAGATTTCAGGCCATTACAGCCCTTAGACATAGGTATGCCTCTATCTAATGTTTACCCCTTGCATCCAGTGAGCAGAAGACTACTTCTAATTTGCAACAGACCTTGACTCCACACCTCCCATAGCTCAGGCACATCTTCAGCTTCCGTCAGGACCTAGGATTTCCTTTGTATTTTCTGCCTTTTTTTTTTTCCTAAGGCTAAGGAAGGGTGGGCCTACCCTAAGTGCAACACTGCAGCAGGAGTCATGACCAACCAGGCCGAGCAAAGGGCAGCACGTCCCCTTGATTTGGAGCTGCGTGGAGCAGGGACCAGCCCATGTCCTCTGTGTCCTCACCCTTGGGTTAAACATGATTAAAGTTGCTTGACCTTAGGTCTGTGTTAGAAAAAAAAAAAAGTCTCCCATGTCCACGGTGGTAGTTGAAATCCGGTCCAGGACAATAGGGCCAGGAAGGGAACGTCCCAGGGGAGTAGAACTGCACAATGCTGCTTGGCCATGCTGCATAGGGGGAGAGGTGGCTCCATGCAGCTCCCACTCCCATTCTATAAGCAGTGCTTGGGGGCCTTTTTCTTACTCTGAAGAGAGGATTATTGGTGTTTCTTGTGTTTTTTCTCTGAGATAAAATTAATTTTAGTCCTTAAATACAACTGTGAAACAAGGAATATTCATTATTGCCTTCTGATGCTTCTGGGAAATGAGAAGTCAGACAGATTAATGGTTTCACCCATGTGAATTTGGGAATCTGGCACATAAGTGGAAACAGGAATTAAATCTTCTCACCATCCGCTAGCACACAGTGTTGAGGATAAAATGCCTCCCTTTTCAAGAAGTTAAAAAAACTCTAGGTGTGGTCTGCTGACTAGGTAATGTGTGCATCTATCCTTGTTACTATCTCCAGCAGAAGATTTCAATGTCTAGAGTAATGAATTTAAATCTTCACCAAAGGAAAAATAATCATAAAGGAGACCTAATTGAATTGTTCAAAACTACTGTCTTGCATTTTACAGTCTTTTCTGGGTCACTTCATTCCTACCTGCGCCATGTAAGCATGCAATATTAAAAAGCAGTTGGAGAGGATAGATGATGGACTCTTGTGCTTGCTGGAAACTCTAAGGGGATGCTAAAGGAAATGCACCCAGGAGAACAGAGCAGATCCGCTTTTGTTTATTTTCCTGTAGATAGGACTTTCTAAGGACTATATTAAAAGCAATTCATAAAGATATGACAGATTCTTAGCATGAATAACATTCTTTTTAGACTATTAAAATTTCCAGTAGTACTACATCTCCAGTCCTAGTATAATATTAGCACTTTAGGGAGAAAAGCTTTTCTTCCTATTGCGTTATCATCTACATATGTATGTGTGTATATAAAGAAAATGTTATGTTTATTAGTATTATGTTAAGATTAAAATTGGTAAATATTACATGAAATACAAGATGTACTAAACTGTATTTTTCTACAAAATAATCTTCTTTTCATAGTTGGCTTCTTACAAGAAACCATCAGAAGATACAAGAGGACATTTCAAACCACACAGCCCAGTATTTCAAAGAAAAGAAAAAGCCAGAGAGATGCCTGAAGACATCCATGTCTATGTGCCCCATTGTCCCTTTCAGAGCAGCACCAGAGGTTCTCTATGGATCACTCCTGGGAATGGGACACTGGCTGCTGATTTTTCTGAGCCTGAAGATATAGATGGTGACACTGGGACATGCACAGCCCAGGGCTGGAAGGAAAAAAACCAGAAATATACCTCTGAACCAGAAGGCTTTAACAGGACGACAAAAGTACTGTCATCTCTGGATTTGAAAGAAAAAGGTGACAAAAATAAAAGGCACCCAGAAAAAAAGTTTGAGCAAGAATTAAAGGAGCCAAAAAAGACACTGATGATTTGTACTCAACAGCAACCTTTGTCATATGATTCAAATGGGACGGATTTAGGTGCAACCAGTCTGGGGTATCGAAACAAAGGAGAAATGGGAACTTCAAAGGAGAAGGATGCTGACTGGAGAAAAGATGTATTCAAACTATCTGGTTGTTCTGTGCCTCTCTTAATTGCAGATGATGCTCCACCAGCTTTGTCAGTTAACGCAAAAGGTGCTCTGAGGAGTCCAGATGCAGTTGCCAGGGAGCACACAGCTGGCCAGCCAAAATCACCACTGAGGCTCATAGCCAATGTGATCAAGAGGTCCATTTTGGAGCCTCTAACCTCATCTCCAGAAGGACTAAAGCAGGATTCTGACAGCAAAGCCAAAGCTTCTTCAGAACAAGCTTTCTTCAGCTTCCCCAGTATTCCTAGCTATTCCCTAAGCCAAAGGAACAGTAACAATAACAGAGCAAATAACACTCAGCCACAGGAACTTAAAGGAAGGGAGTGGGCAGGAGAGTATTTAGGAAATGGGAGCCCTCCCGCAAATCATTCTCATTTTTCTGTTGACTCTGAAAAGAGATCTCTAAGGGATTACAGTGAGGAAGTATCCTTCCCAGTCTACAGTCCTCACACCAGGCCTTCCAAGATGACCAGTATACCTCAGAAATCATCTTGCACTAGGATGGAGGATGTCCCAGGACTCCTAGAAAAGTTTACGTTTAAAGAGACTTCTCCAGGGACTCCCACGGATGACACATTTGTCTGTAATGAAAAGTACCTCCTTCTTTCATCTCCAGAGCCCAAGAAAACTTCCAAGGACAATCTGGGTGACTCTGCACAGAAGGCCAATCTTGGGTTGCTCTTTGATAGACCAAGAAGTAAAGTTCGTGACAGAGAAGGGAATTTCTTTGTGTCATCTCTGCCTTCTGTGAAGGACCGTTCTCCAGAAGACAGGCTACGTTATCCTTCCACAGGTGAAATGATGAGTGGAATTATTTATTTCTAGTAATAGTACTTAACATTTAAAAGACCTCTGTGTGATTGTGAAATACGTATCTGTTGTATGTTATGTTTAATTTATAGTAACTTTCTACATAGAAATACTTAATAAATATATTTTTTTTTCGTTAAGGTTTAGGAGTTGCTTCTGGTTTAAAGGAGCAGAGTGGATTTGGGTTCAGTGAGCTGTGCTCTGTGTGCAAGTTTAGTCTGCTGCTCGCTGCTGTTCAAATGTGTTTGGGACAGGAAAATGTACTCTCAGAGGTGGAAGGAGTAGTAAGGCAGAGTGGGATCCTGTGAAGAGTGGCTGCTGCTGTGACATTGTGTTGTAGAAGGGAGAGTACAGCGGGAAATCCAAAGGATGAGCACCGAAAACTCCAGTGTAGAATACACTTGCTACCCTTTCCATGAGGAGCTCGGAGACTGAAGCAATACGGTTGCAACAGCAAGAAGCTTTGCTTTGTGTATCTGCTTTCTCAGCAGGTGTCTCTTCGGCTCTGACTGCTGCTGTAGTGACCTAACTGTAGACATAATTTTGGGGCTTTGCAGTGTCATTAATATCCCCTTGTTCTTTTACCTGAGAGGAGATAGCACCTTATTGACCTACTCTGACCTATTTGTGAGTCTATTTGGGTAGTGATTAAAAGGCATCAATTTTCATGTTTGCTTGCAAGAACAAGATTAGTATTAAAATTGCAGACGAGTCTAAGAAATATTGATGTCAGACAAAGAAAAATCTGAGTCTTTCTGAGCCTATGCTCAGATTAATTAAGTGCAGCGCAGTTTCAGGTATGAAATATGATGTATGAGAGCTGTGCCTACCTCTTTCTCTATGATCCATCTTTCCACCATCCCACTGCAGAAAGTCACAGTTATTTAACTAAATAACCTATTGAATTTTATTGACAAAACTGTTTGTTTCTTACGTTATTAATTTGCAACCCAGACTGTAACCCCAAAATTGCTGCTGTACTGCAGCATTAAAATAACAGTATGTATGTAAAAGGTGAAGTCACTGAAGTGTTCCCAGTGAGCTGCCAGATCCTTTTTGCATACTTTCTGTTTCAGAAGTACTGCATACTGTGAGGAAGATATACAGTATATAAGAGACTTGATCTAAAGCTTATGAAAATCAAAAGAGTTGATCTAAAGCTTATGAAAATCAAAAGAGTAACTCCTGCTCTCCCTCCTGAACTTTTAGACAAAGGATGCTCCAAGAATTTGATCCAACAACTCACAAAGCCAGGCATCCCCATTGAGCCAGAGGATGCACTGAAGCCACAGAGAGTTGCTAGTGTTCACACCTGTCATGCTGTGGTCTCAAACAGGAGGCCTTTTCTAAGTCTATACCTAGTTATCACCCATCAATTAAGCCAAGCTGACTTGCTCTTAACTAGATGTATCACAATAATATGTTGAGTTCCACCTAAAACAGGAAAAGTTGTTCTTAGGTTTGAATACTACTATACTTTAAACCAGAATGTTTTTCAAAATATTTAATGTGTTGCATTCCTCTGCTGTGCAAGCCAAAAGAGGAATTATTAAATTATTATAACTATTGAATATAAGCATTGCAAAGTCTGTTCAGAAGAGAAAATTGCAGCTTTGATCTAGCGATTTGCCCAGTAATCTGTAGTCTTCAATGTTTCAACATTGCAGCTCCGTGAACTTTTTCAAACATTCATATTTGAGTAAATCAAACTGGTAAAGAGCCAAGTCCTGCTTGGCTCTCTAAAATGGCATTTCTGTCTCATATTGGCACTTGTCCGAGGCCTAGGCTTGGCAAACTTAAGCCATGAACTGATGATGAGCTTTAGCCACATTACATGTCGTCATTTTTCTCTCCTGAAGTTTACCATGAATTTCAGAAAATTTCTTTAAAGAAAAAAAAAATACTTCCAGCACCTTGCAGAAACCAATTTAATGAGGCTCTTTCTCATATTCCTCTTGGCTTTTTTCCTTAGGTCTTTTATATCCTATTTGAGGCCAAACAGACTTGTTCTGTACAAGTATGGTTGGTCTTACACTATGCTGGTGGTTTCTCTCTCAATGGGCTGTTGGCTTGTGGACCCAAAGAATGAGCTGGGTGATAAAAGTCCAAGGGCTTGAGAGGAGACTGGGCAAGCCCATTGAAGAGAAATCCATGGAGGATTAACTGAATGCTTAGAAACCACATCCAATTTAAAATGCTCCTGGACTGAAAAATGACTGGAGGCTGGGCAAGTGTTAAGGTGATATAACATTTGTTTAGATATCCACTGCTGGAGACAGACTGGAAGAACCTTCAGTCTCACCCTACACATCTACTTCTATGTTACGTTGCTCATCTTAAATTATCATAGTTACTTCATGTACAAACACATGTCCAGATGTCTTTCCTATGCTGATGACTTATGCATTTCAGACCCAGGTGTCTGTCCAAACTAAAACTATATTCTGTCTTTCTGTCATCTCCTGCCAAGTGTTCAGCCACCAGCTGAAGCTCAGCATGAGGAAGCAGAGATCTTAATTACTCAGCAGCAGATTGCCTGTCACTCAAACTTATGCCTGCAGTTACACCTTCCATATGGGTCATTCTAATTTCCAATATTTCCTGGTCTAAAGGCTTTTTGTCTAAGACTTTCTGTTTTGTAAGAGCTGTTCCTCAGAGCCACTTGGAAATTTTGGGCTGTGCAGAGATCCAGCTGTGTGGGACCTTGACAAATCTTACTGAAGTAATGGGGGATCATGCACTGATTTCAGTGAGAGATTGTTTTCAAAAAAATAAAACTCTAAGTTTTCCTGTAGAATATACAAATGTCCCCAAATAGTCACACTTTTTTCCTAGGTGCAGTTCCAGATTTTTTTATTTGCTCCACAACATTTTTGAAGCTTTTTGTCCTTCGATTCCTATTTTGTGTTCCAACCTGCAGTCAAAAAAAAGCCCCAAACCTTGATCAATAAAATTGATCAATCAGGTGGTTAATTGTTCTCTCCTAAGCCTACTTGCCATTTTGAAATTCAAACAAATTCTAAACTAACATTCAAAGTGCCATGCTAGTTATAGATACTAAAAATCATTAATACCACAGAAAAACAACAGTATAAAGAGAGCTAAGCCAGGTTTTATGAGAGAGTTGCAGTCATTGGAGTGTAATGAGGTGCAGTAGTGGAGCCAGGGTTTATGTTACTTCTCACTTAAACAGACCTTCTGAAGACCAGCCCACAAAGGTGCTTGGTTATTGGCAGATGTTTGGGACTCAGGAGCTGCTTCTTGGTAGTGATGGAGATGTGGGAGGAATATTTCTGTCCCTGACAGAGTAGGAATCATGTGATAACATCCTTAGAATTGTCCCTTAGATTAGATGAAACTTGTTATAACTCCGTTTGTGACTGTGTTGTTTACATGGCTCACTTCATTAAATAGAGCTACCCATTCAGCTGATGAATTAGACCTGCTATGAAGTCACTTTGCTGTTTTTGTTCAGTTTCCGATTGAAAAGGGATTACTTGCAAATATTTTGGGTTCATACATTGTTCCCATTAGTGCATCTTTGTGCCACTGTAAGTCTGTGTGTTGGCAATATTCCTGCCAGCTACAGCACTTATCTCAGCAATTTCATATTTTAGAAGGGGAACTGAGGCACTACAAGATTAAATTACGTGCCACATGGGAAATCTGTGGAGAAGCAAAGATGTGAAGCCAAACGGCCAAGCCCACTCCAGATTTCTACTGGCCTTTCTTTTCATCTCCCACCTCATGCCAGTTCCCATCTGGTTTGGGACACCAGTGCCCCAAGAGATATGTATAGCTTTGCCTCTCTCTTTTGTAAAACAATGAAGTACTTAAAATGGTCATGATTAACGCCAATGACCTTATAAAAATATGCAATTTTGGACCCTTACAGAGGAGGCCAACAGATTAATGTAATATTATGTTATAAAAATTCTGTTATAAAAATAGTTCCTGCTCCAAGACTTTCTGTGTATTTAGACTACAGTCATTAATGTGACACAAAAACACTCCAGGAAAAGGAGGTGAGCTGTGACACATGGAGTGACAGCAGTGGTGGTTTTCCCTATGAATTTCCAGGACAATCAGCTGTGCTTCCCTGTCTACCAGAAGCTATCACCTTTTTAACCTTTTCATATGACACCTCCCTCTTTGTTCAAAGGATCTCAAGTTTCCTAGGAAAACCAGTACCCTAGATTTCTGTGTTGAGGGAGGGGTTCTCAAAAGCACTGGACTTTGGTCCTGTTGATCTCTCTGAATACAGCAGCGGTTTACCGCTGATGGCATTCAGTGGAACCGTGCTTAGGCCAAAGCGAAGTGTCTTTGAGATTCACCCTTGGATTACCAAGGTGCAAGGAACTGGCCATAGGAAGGAATTTTAATTTCACAGGTGTAATTTTTCTCATCTTGTGACATACATACATGAGGATACCAAGTCCCAATATCAAGAACTGGAGGTTTCCTCCAACTTTGTACTTTGAAGTGTATTCTGTGGCACTGTCAGATTCAATAAAAATTAATAATAAGTAATACTCAGTTTCCTGTAAATTCACAGCTGTAAATCAGGTATGCTGGAAAGGTCTCTTGACCAAACTCTAGTAGTGATGGTGAAGTAGAAATCAATAATAGATTAATAAAGATTTCAGAAATATTTGTTCCTTTCCCCTTTATAATTAAGAACTAAAACCATGGCTGACCATTCCTAGTGATCCAAAGTCACATTAGCTGGGGAGGAAAAGCTCTGGTATAACATCTGTTAGTTTGGAAGTTAGGGAAATGCTAGAGTACTTAAGAAATAAGTAACAAATAACTCCCATTTTGAAGGAATGAGATGGCAGGAAAGTGAAAGCCCAAGTCTAGAAGAGTTCAGTTAATATTTGGAAAAAAACATATGGTTTTGCGATCTTTTCTGTCACTATCAACCTTTAAGACTTGACATATTTGGAGCAGACAAATTATTATCTAACTTTACTATTAAAGTTCTAAGTTTTGGATTTAAATGACCCAGTAAGTGTAAAAGTCCCCAAGTTGAACACTTTTATGTGTGAACTCCTTGTCCAAATCCTCACAGCTGGCAGCTAAATTCTGCCTATCCCAACCCTTCGGAGATAGGAAAGATTAATGCTCAGTCATCTATAGTAGAACATATAAATGCTGTAATAGAGAAGAGTGGTTGTGTGTGGTGTTTTGTTTGTTTTTTTTTTCCAAAAATAGAATAAACTTGTGGTCTTTTTCTCCAGCTCTGCATAAAACAAGTTCATTCTGTGAGGTAATTTCTTACTGTGCTCATTTCAGTCATCTTGAAGTTGAAATTTGCAGCTGGGGTACATTTTAAAGCATATTTCTGATCTCTCCCACAAGGAAATAGCCAAAGAATAATAGTTGAGTAGAGCACTGAATGGCTGCCCTTTTAATGTTGAAAGAAAGGCACTGTCCCGCTGTTTCTATATCCCTGAAATGTGGCAGGACCACACATCTGGGAGCCTAAAAACCCTTTATTCTCATCCCAATTCTGTCACACTCCGCTGTGTGTTTCCAAGCACCTCCTTGGAGTAGCCCATGCTTCTATTATCCACATTATATTAGCGGAGAACATCCATACTATGAAATGTATATGCAATAAATGTGACAGAGACCATAACTGTCAATGTGCACAGGTAGATCCATCAGATGCCTCATCGCTGAGTGGTTTCTTGTGGTCCTTTGCCCTATAGGCTTCTTGAGTGGAGACAATGAAGGACATTGCTGATCACAGTTGGATGGTTGTTATCTCACAGAGCTTTGGGTACCGCATCTCTTGAAAGGCTGAGCTGGTTCAGAGCCACCTAAATGGCTTTTCTCTGCAGAGCAAGGTGCAAATACCTGGCGCTCCATAGCAGATAGGCACTGTGGATGTTATGAATCTATTCTGTGCACAGACATTGGCTTCCTAGTGCTCATGAGATGGCCCTTGGGGAAGTCCTTGACCCTCTCTCTGTCCTAGTAAAGGCAAACAGTGCCGGAGTCATGCCCACGAGGAGGAGGCAGGTGCCCTTGTGTTATGGCAGGCTGCTTTTCCTCTAAACCTTGTAACACTTTTTAAATTATTGATATCGCTCAAGGAGGAGGACGTGGGGAAGCAGTCACTTATTCCCACAGCTGAGAGAAGAAAGGGAGCGTGTAATTGCTTGTGTTTAGAGCCCTGTCGGGCTGTAAGGTTTGTGGCTTGCGTATTATGGAATTCGGTATCGCCAGTGGTGTGACCGCAGGGTAGTTACTTTTAGTTGCACAGGGAAAAGCAAGTTAGGTGAGCTTACTCCTCAAAAGAAGTAGTGACTGTGATAACCCCCATTCCCTCTTCCATCTTGCACACTGGGCAAGGCTTTATGGCTGACTGTCCCTGCCGGAGCAAAGATGGGGTGCAGCTGGATTTATGCTCTTGCCCACAGAGCGTGGGGCACCAGTGTGACCCCAGCAATCGTGAGCCATCAGGGAGTCCCCAGCAGGTCAGCAAGCAGAAGCTGCGTCCCTCCTCCGAGTGCTGGGAGATGGGGAGGTGTGGGGTGGCAGCCTGGGCAATTCTGGGGCAGGGGAATCACCTGGGGGGCTGCAGACCCACCTGGAGGGCTATTGCACCTCCCTGCTTGTGCTTGCAGGCATCTGCTGCCCAGGAACTTGTCCTGCAAAAAGGAGGGCAGGACCCAAGTCTGAGCTTGCAGCTTCATTGAACACAAGGACTGAGTGCTTCTAAAATTGAGACCACTGACAAAAATCAGAATTTCTGCCTCAAATTACTTGGATTTGCTTTCATTGCTTTACCACCTAGGGTGAACGTGTTTCATGGATCCTGATTTCAAATTAGAGCTTGAGACAGAAGTCCTACTTCAGGACTGGGATCCAGGACAAGGCAAAGAGGAAACATTTACACTGGGAGAATGGGAAGTAATTTTAGTCTGACTACAACTTGCGCATAGAAAGCCAACTGTTACCTCTCACATACAAAGAAAAATGGCACTGTTAGCTTTAAATAATGTACATTTCCAAGATGTTGCCCAGCTGTTAATCATTAACCCTGTAGCAGGTTGAAGCGTAGAGACAGATGTTCCAAAAGCAGTTTTATTTTCTGAAATAAAGAGAATGAAGCTATGAATTAGACAAATTAAGAAGAAATTCAAATATTTACACCCAGTTGAAACAAGATGCTGGAAAAACAGGCATGATAAAATTGCTGCAATTAAATGTAATTTAATTTATAATTCTGAAAGCATGCTTCTTCCAAAGGCAGCCTTTGAGTTTTCCTTATGGAGTGCATTGTTGTGATGTATGGATTTTCCTGACTTATTATGGCATTTTAATCAACAGTTCAATGATGTGATAATATTCCTAAAGCAGAAAAATAAGTGACGTTTGTTTAGACATAATTAATGAAATATTTATGTTGCATGAGGCTGTGTGATAAAGCCTTGTTCTCTTAGTCCATTTGCTTCTGATTACATTTGTGATTTTTTTATATGACCAGACATTCTGACGCCAACTATTTTACACTGAGCAGATGTCATGTAGTAAAAATGGGTGCCAGATGCTACAAGCCACATAAGGGTAATTTGTTTAAGAGCTGGCTCAGACTTTTTGCATTCAATTACACTGTATAGTGAGCCTTATACAATCATTTGGGTAATATGGCTAACTTCAGATATACATTTTAATGAATGTTGAGTGCATTCAGAACAGCATGCTACGTGCAGGGTGCTCAAGGAATTAATTTATTTGTACGTAATACCTGAAAAAAATCAAATATACCCAGGCAGAGTTTTTGACAGGGATCAAAAATGTAATTAATGCTGACAGCCAAATTTCCAAATTGCTCTAGGTGCTGCTGATTAGAACTCATGGCAGGTGCAAAATGTCTATGTAAGTTAAAGAACAGTATTTTTTTGCTTCACTGACTATTTTGTTCCTGCATTTTAGGATGTGAACACCTACCTGTCAGAAAACAAGCTTCTGAGTATTCTACTTCTTCCTCCGATGATGAATTTGAATCCAAACCTTCATTAACACACAAGGTAACCTTGACTTGTAAACAGAAAGTTATTTCTTCAGTTGGACTGTATTTAAGATTTATCATATGATTTTGATCTATAACACTGCAATTTCTCAATGGGGGGATGGGAATGTTTTATCAGTGGAGGTTATGGGTCATGGAGAGAAAAATACGTTAAAACTCTTTAAGACAGATGAAAATAAAAATTTCTGTTTCCTCTTTGGATCTTTAATTCCCCCAGGTTACACCAACATTGGCAGAGAAGGTCTTAATTTGACAAGCAGACATGTTTCACTGAAACCACTTTGAAGCTGCATTCATAAGTGGCCTTAATATGTAGCCCAACAAGCAAACTATCGAAAAAATTAAACCAAACAGATGCAGATTTCCCTTGGGGAAATACAATTTCATTTGAGAGGCGCTACAGGCAGACTGTATGGGAAAAGCTGTGTTTATCCTAATCAGCATGACCGCGTGAGCCACAAAGTCGCACCCAGACCCTATACCCCAAAAGGGCCGGCTGCACACCAGGGTCTCCGAGCCCTGACTCGGTTCCTGTGGCTGGCAGGAGTGGTGGGGTTAAAGCACCAGTGAACTCTTGACACCCTGCCCTGATTTGAAGAAACAGAGCTTTTATTGCCTGCATAGCTCATCAGAAATGTGTTTACCTCTTTCCTGTGGAGCGAATATCAGTAAAGTGGAATGAATAGTATGAAGCGGCCTTTCGATTTGTTGCCTTTGCGGGGGGGTAGAAAGGAAAGCAAAACAAGAGGCTACCCAGTACACTGAAAAAATAGTCTAGCTGAAAGCTAAGTGGGGCACTGAATGGAAACCCAGTTGCACAGCTCCAGAGGCAGAAGCACAGCAATGTGTGGTGGCATGGTGCTGACAACACCAAGGTCGCAGGTCACTGTAAGAGAAGATCAGGTTCGAGACCACCTGAGGAACCTGAACATGCACAAGTCTATGACACCCAATAAGATGCACCCCAGAGTCCTACGGGAATTGGCTGATGTAGTTGCCAAGCCATGCTCCATGGTATTTGAAAAGTACTCGTAACCAGGTGAAGTCCCTGGAGGCTGTAAAAAGGGAAACATTGTGCCCATTTTTAATAAAGATAGCAAGGAGGACCCTGGGAACTACCCACCCAATAAGATGCACCCCAGAGTCCTACGGGAATTGGCTGATGTAGTTGCCAAGCCATGCTCCATGGTATTTGAAAAGTACTCGTAACCAGGTGAAGTCCCTGGAGGCTGTAAAAAGGGAAACATTGTGCCCATTTTTAATAAAGATAGCAAGGAGGACCCTGGGAACTACCGACCCGTCAGCCTCACCTCTGTGCCTGGGCAGATCATAGAACAGATCCTCCTAGAAGCTATGCTAAGGCACGTGGAGGACAAGGAGGTGATTAGAAACAGCCAGCATGGCTTCACCAAGGACAAGTCCTGCCTGACCAACCTAGTGGCATTCTACGATGGAGTGACCACATCAGTGGACAAGGGAAGAGCTACCGGTGTCATCTATCTTGATTTCTGTAATGCCTTTGACATGGTCCCCCACAACATCCTTCTCTCTAAATTGGAGAGAGATGGATTTGATGGGTGGACTGTTCAGTGGATGAGGAATTGGCTGAATGGTCACACCCAGAGGGCAGTGGTCAATGGCTCAATGTCCAGATGGAGATCAGTGATGAGCGGTGTCCCTCAGAGGCCCGTATTGGGACTCTTAATATCTTCATCAATGATATAGGCAGTGAGATTGAGTGCACCCTCAGCAAGTTTGCAGATGACACCAAGCTAGGTGGTGCCATTGACACACCTGAGAGACACGATGCCATCCAGAGGGACCTGGACAAGCTCGAGGAATGGGTCTATGTGAATCTCATGAGGTTCAATGAGCACAAGTGCAGGGTCCTGCACCTAGGTTGGGGCAACCCCCAGTATCAATACAGGCTGGGAGATGAAGGGATTGAGAGCAGCCCTGCCAAGAAGGACTTGAGGGTACTCGTGGATGAAAAGCTGGACATAAGCCAGCAATGTGTGCTTGCAGCCGAGAAGGCCAACCATAACTTGGGCTGCATTAAAAGAAGCATGGCCAGCAGGTCAAGGGAGGGGATTCTTCCCCTCTACTCTGCTCTGGTGGGACCCCACCTGCAGTACTGTGTCCACCTCTGGAGCCCTCAGAACAGGAAAGACATGGACCTGTTGGAGCGGGTCCAGAGGAAGACCACAAAACTGATCAGAGGGATGGAACACCTCTCCTATAAGGACAGGCTGAGGGAGTTGGGGTTGTTCAGCCTGGAGAAGAGAAGGCTCCAGGGAGACCTTATTGCAGCCTTCCAGTACTTAAAGGGGGCTTATAAGAAAGATGGGGACAGACTTCTTAGCAGGGCCTGTTGTGATAGGATGAGGGTAATGTTTTTAAACTAAAAGAGGGCAGATTTCGACTAGATATATGGAAAAAAATTTTCACCATGAGGGTGGTGAGGCACTGGCACAGGTTGCCCAGACAGGTGGTAGATGCCCCATCCCTGGAAACATTCCAGGTCAGGTTGGATGGGGCTCTGAGCAACCTGCTGTAATTGAAGATGTCCCTGCTCATGGCAGGGGGGTTGAACTAGATGACCTTAAAAGGTTCCTTTCAACCCAAAAATGCTATGATTCTATGTTTCTATTTCCTGCTAGTGGCTCTATGTCAGGATGCACTGAGGTGTCAGAATTCCTCATTCATCTTTCCTGCTACAGGAAAGACAATCTATAGTAAGATAATGTTATGGTGAATTAAAAAAAGTTTAACCAAAATAGAGAAAAGAAGGGAGACATGGGAGAAAACTGAATAGGAGCAACTCCCAACAGTTCAGGCAGGCGCAGGGACAGGCAGGACCAGGCAGCTGCCAGAAATGGGGTGAATGAGCAGCTGTCACACACGGGTGTTAGCAGTGACTCAGTTCTGATGCACCTTCCCCGTTCAGCTTGTTTCTCTCGGCTGCCTCCTAGCCCCTCTTTTCGTGCCAGCTCTGGCTGCTATTTTACCAGCACCACCATTTTTCTCTGGCAAAACTTGGTGGGAAAATTTTTAGTGGCTTCCTGGTTTGTTAGTTTTTTAGTCATCTTGTCTACGGTGCTCATATATTCTGTCTCCTCCAAAATGGGAAAACCACAGCCTTGAAGCGCTTCCAGATAGCTTGGGTCAAGGGCAAGATGGAGCAAGCACAGGCAATTCCCTCGGCCAGCCCTGCAGCACATGCTGCCCGCTTTCCCAGCGGCAGCAGCAACAGATGCCCCAGGGAAAGGCAAAAAACCTCTGCAACGCAGTGCAGAAATGGCATTGGGGAAGGTTTCAAAAGGCTTCAGGTAGTGTCCTGTGATGGCTGTTTCTTTCCGATCTGTCCCTCTTACCATGTTAGAAGCCATGCAAAGTGAATTTTACTACTTAGCAGCTGAAGCAATAGAAATGGGTTGAGTATCCTTAAACTGATGCTTCCCACCACCTGTGCCTGGCTTCTTCCCTGATCAGGGTGATGTCTGCAGAAGCCATGTAGAGTGGAATGTTGCATGTAGTCAACTTTGCAATTCAGGCATTTTTTATTGATACACACAGTTCATGCTCACTTAGGGTTGTAATAAGAGCTTGTAATGATTTAAAGTCAATATAGACAAATGCATGAAAATACTCCTACAAGAATATTTTTATTTCGGTTAGGTTGCCCCAAGCACCCTGTAGTAGCTCACCTCACCTTGAGCAGGGGAGTCAAGTTAGATGATCTCCAGAGGTCTCTTCCAACCTCAACAGTTCTGTGATTCTGAATAAGGTTTGAGAAAACCTGTAATGGCATACTTATGCTTTAATTGCCTTTTTTCCCTTCTCCCTCTTCTGTAGGCAAAACGGACTCTCAGAAGGAGAAGAAAGCTGGAGAAGGAGACAAAGCAATTGATTAAACAAGAGGAGCTGAAGAGGCTTCACAAAGCACAGGTGAAAATGTAGTTCGCAAATGTCCTGTTTGTCTCCAAAGAGTGACTAGTAAGGATGAGGGGTACCCAGTGTGGGCTCTGCACCTCCCCTCACTCCTCGCTGTGGCTCACTGCCTTCTGTGTGAAAATCCCCCCAAACCGTCAGGAGCAGGAAGATGTATGTAGCAGGGCCTTGCATCTCTCTATGTGATAAATCCACATGTGCCTCAGATCATCATCATAATTTTGTAACTGTGTATGAAGAACAAGAGGGAATAGTGACTGGCAATAAAAGAAGAATACATTGAAGAGGGTAAAAGGTAGAAAGTGGAAATAATATCAGCCCCAGAGAATGTAAGAAACTCAGCTACTACCCCTATGTATGGTGGGTACAAAAATACAGTGATGGGTTTTGTTCTCTCTCTGCCGTAACAGTGAAAGTCAACTGTTTTCTTTCTTAATTATGCAAAGTCACTTCACTTTATACAGGCCCTGCTCTTCGGAAAATGCTGGAAAAGCTCTGAACTCTGCTAATGTTTTATTATTTCCAATTCTAGTTCAAACATTTGGGAATGCACTTCTGCATGACTTGATCTCAGACTGTGTTCCCTCTGGTGTCAGAATTTTCAGGTTTATCTGTTTCACTTACCACACATACATATCTATATGCATATATATATATATGCACACAAAACTTAATGGCTTAGGTGGCCATTAGCACTTTTTGTGTGTGTCTGTACTGTAGCATAGGGCAGAGAAACCTGAGCTAGATTTAATCTCATTAATTCAGGTTGTAATGGTAATCAAGATATGGTAGTGGGGAGAGCAGGCTTTTTGGAGGCAGAGTTGTCCATCGTCTTCTCTTTTATTACTATAGCAGGTGGATAGTTTTGGACGGAGTTTCCACTTGCTGTTTCTGAACCAATATTAAATTAAAAAAGAAAACTAATACGTTGTTTTTCAGATGTGAATCTGAAATCTCTGTTTTTGTAGACATTGCTGCTTTTGCAAAATATATTACTGAAAGGGAGAGAAATTTTGTGTTTGAACCAGACTGGATTTTAGAAAATGCTAATATCTAGCCATTACTATAAAATCCGTGACAGAATAAAACTGATGGGAAAGAAAAATAGTATCTTATTTAATCCAAAGTAAGAACAACTATGTTATAGATTTGTCTGAGAATTGTAAATTATCTCAAGGTAAAATTAGATGCATACACACCTTCTCTTATTTTACTGCTTTCTAGAAATAATCAGTTCCAAACTTTTTGAACCATCCTTTGTGTTTGTTAGGCTGTTGCTGAGGTCTTGGCTTGGTATTCCCTAACACAGCCTGAAATGGGAGCTGCTGAGCATCTCTCTTTGACAATTCAACCTTTTAAGGTGTTTCATGCCTATCACCCACATGACACCTCTGAAAATCTTATTTAGCAGGGGATGGACCAGTGAACGTAGAAGTCCTTCCTGAAGTGCCACTGAATTATCACTTCTTAGCTATTCAACCCTTTCCTCCCTGTGTCAAAAACTTGTGAAATACAAACGCAAAACAAACAACAAAACACCATGGACAACAAAATAGCTAGCAAAGCTTTCTAGCTGTAAACCTTCACTATTCATATAAGCTTTATTCGTGTAGCATCTCAGAATATGTGCCTCTGAATGAAAAGTCAATACCTTAACATATACCTTGTGAGACACAGAAATATTACGTTCTCTGTCTTGCAAAGGGAGAGCTAGAGTTCAGAAAAAATTAGGTTCTTCTAGCACCTACAGTACTTGCCCACATAAAAATGTGGACAGATACCTAGCGGAATTATTAAATTGCTTAGGCGCCTAATATGCTCAATGAGTTTGCAAATCCCACGACTCCTCTGAGACCTTTTCAAGCTGTTTCTCTAACCACTGAGACCATCTTTTGTCTCTGAATTTTTAAACTATGTTTGTAGCTTTTATATCATTACAATTTTGCAGGCAATCCAGCGCCAACTAGAAGAATTGGAAGAAAGACAAAGAGCTCTGGAGATTTTTGGTGTCAAACTGGAGAGAGAACTAAGGGGAGAATCAGGTAAATGAAGCAGTGGTTGGTTGGTTGGTTGGTGGTGGTTTTTTAACCTTTCTCAAAGCACAGGGTTTTTAATGATTGTCATAGAAATAGAGTTCAGTGCAAAATCTGAAATGAAAGAGTAACTGGAAGGACAAAAATAATTGTTTACCCTTTTCCTCAAACTCCATTAGTTCAAGCACCTTTACACTGAATGCTATAAATTTCTGTTTGCTATCGCAGATGTAGAATTATTTGTCTTGCTATTGAACCTGAATCTCCATTTTTTCCCCCCATTTTTTAAAATCCCATCCAAGCTTAATTTCATCTCCTGGAGAAAACCAGTGAGGTTTCCAGGAGCTGTATCTCAGTTACCAAGCCAGCAGCAGCCCGTGCCTAGTAACAGAGTCCTTAATGACTTCTCCAGGAGTGTGAAATGCCATTAATACGATTAGAGCCGGTGGCCATGCTATAGCAACAGTAGCATACAGGCACCCCGACCTGAACTGCAGGGCCTTTTCCCCCATGGGTAGAAGATAACAGGGACGTGATCCTGGCTCCGGTTGGAGGCAAGGCTGTAACTCACCTGAACAACAGCCCCAAGCTTGCAGGACTGCGGTGTCCTCCCGCCAGCCCAGCCTTACCAATGCTCCCCAGCGCTCATGGGGTGGGAATGGAACATCTAGGGGCTCCTGCTAGGCTCAAAATGGGGACAAGAGTGTGAACGATGCATGCAAGGGACTTCAGAGGGGGCTGTGGTTCTGTGCTGAAAGGATTCTGGAGAGCCGACAGCCCGATTGCAAACGTGTCTTTATTTACCTCTGTTTTAGAAAGCTGAGCCTCGTGCTTTCATGACAGGCAGTTGCACAACGCTGAAAACCTAGATATATTTTGGCATCTGATCTTGATGCCTTAGCTAGGCAAGCCAGCACAATCTCTACATGCCGGCTTTTTTAACGCTGTATTTCTTAGAAGTTATTGCCTCTATTCTAACACTGAACTAATCAGTTCAGCAAGAAAGCATTTGTCCAACCTTTTATATTTATTAACTAATTTCCTATAATTGATAGTGCCAACCTGTTTCAAATGTTATTTAAAAGGCTAGCATCTTTTTTTTTTCTTAAATGAAAAAAATGAAAACATAGCCATTTATCAAATGGCACCCACCTTACTGCCTGTGAGAAAGTCTGCTAAAAGACTTTGAGGGTTTGGAGCGTTACCTTGTTTCTTTACTGCTGATTTGTATAAGGGTGGATGTTTTTTTGAAATATCAAAAATATAGAGGGGTAAGAGGTTTCTAGCTCTTGGGATAGACATGGAATACCAGGATAAATGGCCTAGAGCCACCTCTTGTTTTTGCTGTTTTGACAATCGCATTTCCTAAGGAAGGCTGTCTGCCAAGAGATTGATGCTTCTCATTCTCTCCCCATCCTTAGTAATTGGATTGCCCTCATTAAGGTGAAAGTACTATTTTTTCTCCCTGTTGGTTGTTTGCGTGTAGGTGGCCAGTTACAAATAGGGCAGATACTGAAACGTAGGATGTTACTGTCTCACAGTACCTCTTCTGGTGCAAAAGCATGAAGCCGTAACTTTTCCAAACAAAACGTAAGTGCTTTGTTGCTTGTAATGATTCAGGAATCGGTGAGTTTTGTATTCTGTTCAACCTTCTTAAAAATAATGACCATTATTGTTTAATGAATGACCAGTACTTATTAGGTTAAGTTGTATTTAAGCAGGTCTGCGCTTTATGCGATTCAAGTGATTTAATAGGTATTATTAAGGTAATTAGAAAACGATCACAGTTCAGCAATAATATCGAGCTGCAAAGGTTGTGAATAACCAAATTTAGAGACAGGCCTGCAAACACTAGTCTTCAGTGACATTTACGCAACTCTCCTCTAATAATTCTGTAAGCCTGGGATGAATGGCCCCTTTGTTAGGGGGAGTTATTCATTACCTCCTCAACTGAATTAGAAGAGAACATGCGTGGGTGTGAAACAACTGCCATGAAGACTGATGAGCAAAACGAGGCTTTGATGATCTTATAATTGTAGTGACAACAATTCATGCATTAAAAAAAAAAAGAAATAATATCAGTCCTATGAATAATTTTTCATGCCCGTTATTCCCTTTATTCTAATTCGAAATACCAAAAAATAAATCATTGATGTACCGCCACTTTGTTTTCCACTGACATTTGTGTGGAGGCTTATGGAGATATTCTGCCTACAAGAAAATACAGAAATAAAAATCTCAAAACACATTTTCCACTGAGATTAGCATAACCGATCAGTTGACTAAACAAATCATGAAAAATTATGGTAAAGAAGAAAGTCTGTCTTGAGAGAACATTAAGAAATCTCTCCCTGTTTTGGAAGGTGAACAAATATCTGCATACGTTGCAGCTAGGTTTTGATTTCATAAGGAGCATATCCAAGGCTTCTCAGAACTTCCAGCAGTGTCAGAAGGGATTTGTTGAAAACTTGTAGGAGTAAGGAATATGAGGTTTAACTGTTCCTAAAAGGACGCAAACTGGCCAAGCTCCCTTTACTGCGGGACTGCTGTACGGGGGGACAGTGTAGCATCACTCTGCAGAACAGAGGTTGAGGTTTTGAGAACAGTAATATTCAGCAAATACTCCTCTACAGCCTGTTATTCCCTCAAAAGTGATGAATATAGACATAACTACAATGTAATTAGAAGAATATCTGACTTTCAAATGGGATCCAGGTTAAAGGAGACTTGAGTAAACCATGGGGAAGGCTTTGCTTCAGCGACACTGTAAGAAAAAGCCAGCACAGCTCACAAAACAAACTCACAAATTGTTTTCCCTCTAACCTTTAAAAGGATGTGTTGTACTGCGTTATGCAAGAGTTCATTGGCTTGTTCTGCCCTGGGAAGGCATAAAGCACTCCATCAGACTTAAATAATGATTAACATTATTATTAACAAACATTGGAAGAGCTCAAGGGAAAACTGCCTCTGGGGACACTTGGGGGGCATTCTGTGGGATGGAAAAGGAGGAAAAACAAGGGCTATTTTTATTTCAGCTTGCACTGGGGTTTTTGCTAAAATGAGTGGTGTTTTTGCAAAGTGTGTTACTGTTTGCTTACCTCAATCGACCTATGATACACAGTCTTTTATTAGAGATACAGAGATTTCAAAGTGTAAAGAGGAAATGTTAAAAAAAAAGAATATTTTTGCCTAATCAAGAAAACAGCAAACAGGGAACAGTAACCCTCTGCGTGTGTGTGCAGGACATATGCATACCTGCAATTGCAGTGTTTTTACTGACAGTAAGATAGATCCAATTTTGATGATAACTTCTGATGGTGGCATATGAAGACCTAAGGCTCTGAATACTAATGCTGCATCCCTGCATTGGATCTGAGAGACGTTACCATTGACACATCCCAGTGAGAACTGCTCCAGCAGTCACTCTGACAAGGTCACCGCTTGCTGACCTGGAAGATCCCACAGGAACACATCCATTACTGCCAAGTTTTAACGGAACCAGGCAGAAATTGGACCAAGATTTCTTTGCCCTCTCCTGCTGCTTTTATCCTCCCATTTCATGGTAACTTCAGATTGGGGTCAAATCCTGACGAGAAGACGCAGAACTGCACCCAAGCCAGTGTGATTCCTGTCCTTGGCGTGGGGTCCATGTAATTCCTCCAACGCTGGCAGGAGGTGACCCGGGCTCTCGGGGATGACAGTGCCTGGTGGAGGCACGCAAATGGGCTGGTGATCCCAAACACCCAACAGTTTCCCTCCTGCTAAGGAAGATTGCTAAAGGGCTGCATTGGGCAAGATCATTACTGCCCCAAGGAGATGGGCTTTAAACTGCTGCTCTTGAGTGGAGTAAAACCCTGTCTTTGACGTTAAAGTGAGGGACAGCTGAAGCAGTAGAGGCAAGAGGGTGATTCCTGGGGCCGCATTTCAAAGCGCATTTCCTGACAACGGAAAGGCATCTGAATCGCTGCTGAGCTGTCCAGGACTCCGGCTATCTCTCCACTTGGTAACCTAGTTTAATGATACTTTTGTAATTGTCATCTCTGGAGCTCGAACCTGAGACCTTTGGGCTTAAATTTCAGTGCTCTCAGTCATCTGAAAAAAAGGTGCAGTGCTCTTAAAGTAGGAGAAATCGCGTAAGTCTCCAATCACAGAAAATAGCCAGGCTGGTTTATGGGAATTTTATGCATGGTTATCTAGCAGCGTGATGTAAGGACTGACGAGGAGACCGCTGCATTCCCCTGCACCTCCTTTTACTCTGTCCCAGGTCCGGCTGTCCCTGCCTTCAACACGCGGCAGCAGCGTGGTGGGGTGTGCAACTACCACGTGCTGAGGCAGGAGCACAGGCTGGATATTTCTGCTTCTGTCAATTTGGGTCGGCGTGTCACCTAAACTGTTGCCTCAACCTGGAGTAGCATGAGATATTTGCTTCCTATAAGTGATCACTATTTTGTGGCAACTGAGTACGGGTGGGTAGAGCAGACATTGTGGGAGGTGTGTTTGCAGTGCCATCGCTGCTGCTGTAATTCTGCATGGAAGGATGGGGTGGTTTTGTTTTACGAAGAAAATGAATAGAAAATGTGAAGTGATGAGTGTGTTAGTAAGGACAGCAAGGAAAAGAAATACATATGTGCTCAGACTTGCCACTTGAAAACACCCAGGCGTTCTTCATTGCCAAAGATTTTTGTACAGATGGCATTTTAGGAGGAGTAAAGGCCCTCACCTGGTGCAAGACAAACCTGTCCTCCTCTTCAGCAAGTTGGAGTCAAGTTTTGAGCTCTCTGGGAGAGAGACCATCTCGTGTTTCATGACTGTATGGTGTCTGCCAGTGATGCCCTGGCCCAAAGAATTACAAAACCACTCAGTAATAATAGATTTGTCCCGTCCCAGAGCCTTTGCCGTCATTCAAAGCAGATGCAGATTTAGAGGCCAGTTGGCAAATAAATGGAAATTTGTAGAGGATTTTATCGTGTGTCTGATGCCCACTGGAAGCAGGGACTTCAGCTGGTACTTGCCAGCAGGTACATCCTGAAGTCTGATTGTATTAATGGGATATCCATTTACACATATAGTTCAGCTGCTGGAGTCCAGCATGAACAGAGAAACTATGTTATCAAAGGCAGAACTAAGAGAAAGAAAAAGTGCCCATTAAAAAAAGAAAGTCTATACTATTATTTGAAAGAAAAAAACTTAACTTGCAAAACAAAAGTGTTTTTAAATCTAATGCACCTTCAGCTGCAATGAACTACAACATTCAACCAAATGTTGGCAAGAATGTTATACCTGTTGTATCCAGACATTACTGATGTAAGTTACATACAGCAAAAAAATCCACATTTGGACTCACCTAGGCTTGCAAGTGAGGACTCTGTAAAGTGAACTGAAGCAGTAAGAGTGTTGGAAGGAAAGCTGGTAATGCACATCTAACTGTCCTATTTTAAACAGATTCAGGTGCAAAGGATGAAACCCAGATGCTACATGAATGGTTTGAGCTGGTCCTGGAGAAGAATAAATTAATGCGTTATGAGTCTGAGCTCCTGATTATGTAAGTAAGGACAATCATTAGTACTAAAAATGGGGAGGAAAGAGGGGAAAAGCGTACTCACGTTACACCTGAACACCTTGCTGTGTGCTGCAGTTTGAGACTGTCGTCGAATAAGTGTACCCAGAGGAGCTACAATCTGTTTTGAACACAGGTTTTCATTTGAGGCCTCCTCATCCTTCCCTTTCACAGTGGTTCGATTATTTCAGTCATATACAATACTCTAAACCGGTATAGCATATGGATGCTCTGCTTTTATATAATATGAGTCTAATGAACACTGGGGCACTTTCTCCCAAGAAAAACAGTCTGGCAAGTTTATCTCGTGTTTTATTGGACATAGCAGAAAAGATCTAGGAATCCACTACAGTAATGAAAAGGCAGATACACCAAGCAAATAAAAACCATCTCAGATGCCACTGTTTGTGGTTGATGGAAACAATATCTGCTGTAGTTCCCTCACCTCGCCTCCTCGGAAACACACTCAACAGATAGGCGGAGGTGACTCTCAGCTATTTTCTCCACTATTTCTGGGCAGTGTGGGAAGGTGATGAGAGCTGCAGCAGTCATTACTCTCCCCTGGGTTTCACACCAGTGCAGGCTGCTCGTTGCCATTGATCGTGTCCGTAACGCTCAGTCAGCCCCCCGTGCTGTGTGCGGACCTGCAGCCCAGCCACGAGCTCCGGCCGCTCCCCAGTTTCTCCCAGCTGTGCTGATGCTGCCAAGGGCCAAACCTTTCTTTCCCCTTGGATTGCCATTGGGTGTTGCAGTAGCAATGCTTCCTGCTCACACTGTCTGCAAAGCAAAAGCAGGCTGCTTTTATCACTAGAGGACACAAAATGTGGTTGTCTGCGTGTGTTCACGTGTGTTAATTCCCTTGCCTCAGAACCCATTCCTGTGCAGAGGGCCTGGCAGGGCCCTCCGTGTGCAGGAGCATTCAGTCCTATCCAGAATCACGTTGTGGTTGCCACCAACAAAGCCCAGCTGGTTAAAGCCTTACGTGTTGCGATGGATGAGGGAGCTTAATCTGATACATAATGCAAAAGGTGGTTGTGGTACTTCTGGCATTGCTGTGGCAGTGTGGGCACAGGCAAACCTTTTAGCCTTGACTGCCTATGAGGAGAAAGTACTGGATAAGCAGAACACAGAATCTCTTGGTTGAAATACTATTAACACATATGTCTTTCTTGAAAAAAGCTTATTCTTTAACATACTTTTTATTGTACCTAGAGCCCAAGAGCTAGAATTGGAGGACCACCAAAGCAGGTTGGAACAAAAGCTGAGAGAGAAAATGGCCATTGATGGTAAGTCAAAAGGAAGAGTATGCTCCAGCCCACAGTGATAGACCATGCCCGTACAAGTCCGGGCTTGCTCCAAAAAGGACCAGAGTGGCTGAGGCTCTGCCTCCTGTGCTCTTCTGTGAGTGCAGCTCAGCCAGCAAAATGCAACTTGTGAGCTCTTCTCAGCTGGCTTGTAGCGAAGACAGCTGCGCTGACCTGCCCAGTTCTACACTGAACTGGATCAGGAGCACTCGCACGTGTAATTCCAGCAACTGTGCTGTGCAGGCAGCAACACCCAGCTAGCATGTGATGACGGGCAGCACCGGAAAGTAACTTCTTCAACCACCTTACCACAGAAGAGGTTATCTGCTTTTACGTTAACTGCAGCATTACTGGTTACCACAGTATTTTGGAACTTGCTTTTAGGTACTTGGGATTACAGTTTGGGCTTGTCCTTTCATTTGGTAATAGGAGAGAGAGTGTGGGTAGGAGGAATGCAGGGAGAAGGGGGTGTTACATAGCACTGAATACCCCAAAATATTCTGTTGTGTTCTAAACATGTGGATAGTAAATGATGGCAGTTTTAATACTTTCTGAAAAACAATCTCCATTTTCTTACAGGTACTACATTTCATGGTTGGGCTTTTTACCTTGTATAAGCTAAATTTAAACTCCATCTTAAATGTGTTTATAAACAAGTAATGCTCTTCCTACCCCTTACAGTCTACGTTTTGCTAAAAGATCTACTCTACACGTTAGGAGCCTTAATGGTCTACTGTAAATGGCCCGAATGCAGGAGACGTTTTCCCTGCACTGTAACATGAACAGTATTACTTGCTATTAATTTCATTTGTTGTTGACTAGAATATTAATTCAAGCTGTACACAAACAGTCAAAATGCAAAGCTGATAATAGAGCGAACTGGATTTTAACCTCTGGTTTTGTATCTTTTAGACAGCCTCAAAGATGAGATGGATCTGAATGAGGAGAATGAAATTTTTGCTGAGATGATGAAAGTGGTTGAAGAAAGGGACAAACTTGTGTCTACCTTAGAGGAGCAGAGAGTGAAAGAAAAAGCGGAAGACCAGCACTTTGAAAGCATTATATTATCTAGAGGCTATCAGCTGAGCAGGATTTAAACAGCCACATGCAAACAAACGTGATTTCAGCAATATTCGTAATCATGGAGATAGAGTCTTCTGAAAAATGAAGGAATTAAAATTTAAAAATCAGTTTATTTGGGAAACATGTCATTCTGTTATCAAAAGCTCTTACGCAGTTCTTTTGCTCGTGCTGGAGTGAATCATTTCACTACCAGCTTAAAAGATCACGGGAACACAGAATAGGACTGAATTTACCTGTGTGATGGGTCTGTGAAAGGGAAAGCAGAGCTCTGTTGTTTTCATGGAATTTTATTTTTAACGCTGAGAATAGAGTTCCTAAGAAAAATGGTGACATCATTTAGTATTTTTCAGACTGCATTATTTTCCATCTGTTTGTCTGAATCTGGATGTGGTTTTGTTAATATTTTGGCACAGCCAAGCCATGGCGAACTATTAAAGGTCAGAAAGGAAGCACCTCATAAAAAAATAAGGTTAGTTTTTATTTCTGGTGGAGGAAGGGTCGTTTGACTAATAACTGTGTATAAGCACTCATTAAAGCTACTGTAAATGCAATGTCAGAAATTAATTTTCCAGGTATTTGTAAGTTTTAGTGCACTATGTATTTTTGAACAAGAAGTTAAAGCAATATTAAATCCCTACACTTTGTAAAATGGTAAGGGATTATCAAAGGGGGGACTATCCTTAAGACTGTTACATGCTCAAAAAAGCTCTTATATGTCACAGATTAAGGTCTTCTCTCAAATACCCTAAATGATAATTTAAAAATAGTAATCCAGACTAACTGCTTTACAACTGCTTGATAAAATACATCACGAATAGTATCACAGGGTGTGATGAGTGGTATAGCAGTTAAAGATCCCCCTGAGAATAATTTCTCAAAAGGGTTGCAAAAAATGTTGAGTTTGTAATGTCAACATTTCATAGAAAATTTTGTGGGTATATTTAAACTACAGTTACCTTGCTGCTCAAGAATATATATGCATGTGTTTTGCTTAAAGGAGATATCTCCTATCTTTTCTGTACATGCATTTGTAGATATTGGTAAAGCAGATGTGCAGAAATTCTCCTTAGTATTTGGTGTAATTTAAGTTCTTTCTTAAATCTGAGATAATTCTGCAGTTTAAAATTGGTAGTATTCCCAACTGTATGTACAATGATGCACTACATTTTCAAACTGAAAAAACAAGGAGAAACTTGAAAGACTGTTTCTTTTTGAATATCATTTTACCTCATGCTCTGAGATTTGATGTTCTCATTATTTCATGAATGGTGCTAATTTGCAGCAGTTGCCTATGGTATGGCCAAAGCTAGAAGCACTCCTGTGACAAAAGCTTTAAACTAAAAAGCCTCTTGGTAAGTACTTGTAGGGTAGCAGACACACTGGATCCCGTCATGATACTTTATGAATGATCTTAAATTTTTGCTGTTTTGTAAGAAATTTAAAATACTCTTTCTAAAGATGAAAGCAAGATTTTACTATTGACCACAGATAAATAATATACCTCTGTTGGTGCAAGGAATATACTATCGTTCTGCAATATTTATGTATTTATATTTATTTATTAGACTGTTTAAAGAGGATAAGAGTGTCTGGTTACATTTTACAGTTTGGATGTTGTCTCTGATTTTGATTGATAAATGTGTCTTTCTAACAGCTACGTATAGGTAGAGCTGTGCATAATACAGTAGACAGCTTTATCTATTTGGTAAATAATTAGTAATAAAATACGAATTAACATTTTTAAACAACGTTCTCACTTACCATAACTTGAAGGGATAGCCTTAAAATACAGCATGTAGGGCTTTTGCAATATAATTTGCCCTTCACTGCGGTGGAAAGACATAGCAGAATCCCTTCATGTGTTCCAAAATTACCATCAGATGTTTATTCCCCTTCATTCGTAGGCTAAACATACCTGATCTTCAGATTACATTTTTATTGAGATGGATTGCAGTGATTGATTTTTAAACTGACTGTATTACTCTAAGATTGACACAAAGTAGGAGCAGGCAAGGCAGTAATAAATATTTTAATTTTCTCCGTTAGAGCTGCTGGCATTTCCAGTTATGTGGAGAAAATTTCTGGATTTTATCACTGTTTCCAGAAGCCTCATGTAATCCCATAGAACAAGACTGTCTAGAACATCTATCACAGTTTCCTGTAGAAAACGGAGATTTATAATGCTTTCAAGGTATTTTAAAAAAGTTTTAAGGCAAACCTCTTAGTGCTTTGCACAGGAGGGGAATTCAGCACAGACACCTCCAGTTATATGAGTCTATGGTTGTTTTTTTCACCTCACTTTTACAACCTAAAAAGTCCATTCACCTTAGAGTTCTTGCCATGCAAAGAGGAAGAGGAAGGGCAGCCTCAGAGAAACGTGTCACCTTGTCCTGAGGAGGAGATTGCTCTCCTCGGCCAAAGTCCAGCCTGCCTGCCCAGGGGAGGTGCGCTCACTGCAGTCAGTCAAGTTCAGGTCGCTCTGAATTGTATATAAGCCCTGACATTTCAGTTTACAGCAGATACCTGTTTGGCTATAAAACCAAATGCAAAAGGGTACTTTCCTTTTAGCTCCAAAGATTTGAATTCTTGAGAGTATTAGAGTTAACAGAAGCTGAGGGCCATCAACATTTTATGGACCTCAAAAATATTCTTTGATAAAAAGATACTTTTCTGGATGCCATGTGGTCATAACACATGCTCGACCCAAAACCGTGTCTGCTCTTGGGTGGAAGAACCTGTCGGGCTACTGTTACCGTGCCTCATACATTAAGTACCTCACAAGATTAGATCCAAAAATGAACCATGTAAGTGATTTAGAAAAATCATAAACTCTTAAGTCATTTAAAGCAGATCTTTATCTATTGTGAGAGTGGAGAAGAAGGGGGGGTGGAAAAAGAGAAGCTATGTGTATTGTTCACAGGTCAATTTAGTGTGGTTGGCTTGTATTAGAAATTTATTTAAACATTGGTTTGGTTATGAGTCTTCTTGCTGCTCAATCTTTTCTGTAAATTGACTCAGTAACCTATAATACATTTGTTAATTTTTAAGTCCTTGGCGCTGTCATTGTTGGGTATAATGTGATGTGCTGGAACATATTGACTATGTCTAAATGGACTAAGTGTGAGCAATTTTCTATGTGAAAAAATAAAATTATATCTCACTCTCTGAAGTCCCTGAATAATTTCCATAGCAATTTCTCTCCACCAATATCTACAACGTAATAATGTCTGTCTAGGAATACCTATAGGTAAGAAATTATAGCAGTTTCCTAACTCACATACTGGTAAGTACATTTTGCATTCACAGATTCATTTTATAGTTTAGAAATAATGACACCCTGAAGTTAGAGGGCATTCGAGCCTACATTTAACACAAGAGGTTGCAAACTCCATGAGATCAACAACTTCACATTCTTCACTTAGAATTTGTGATCAAAACCTTAATTGCCAATTTTCAAATTGCACTAACTTAACTTCTATTAGGTTGTCTCATTTTGTTGTTTTCTACCAGTGGGAGAGCCTTACAGAGCCAGACAACGTGCTGCTCGAGATGAGAGAAGTGGATAAGCAAGATTTGGGCTTATGTTAGTGCCTGCACCATTGTCCCCTGCTCAAGGACTCTGAACTCATCGATAGTTCTCTCCTCTTCAGAGGGCAGATGGACAGCTATTTCTCTTCAGAGCTCAAGGTAATTTTTGGCATATTTGAACTGAGGTTTTTCTTCTAATGTCATGTCCTTTCCCTTCCATCTTGTGTGCCTCAGAGGCAGATGGGCGTGGTGGTGACTCCTCTGATAATACCACACGTAAGTTCTCAGGACTGCACAGGAATTGCCTGCCTGCTGGGTTTATTGGAAGTAATATGTCAAACTTTTATCTATGTTCAAAACCTTGCAGCCACGTTGACTTCTCAGCCAGCTGGTCAACAGCTGGGGACTTAGCTGGCCCAGGAGCAGGACGGGGGGAGAAATGCCACCATAGGAATTTATTGAGGCTCCCCTCCTATTCACAGCACACACACACAAACACCCTTGTCCCCTCTTCAGAAGATTATGGGTCTAAAGGAATTCACTTGGTCAAGAAGTTCAGGAAAAGGATTTTGTAAGCCATTATTTAACTCAAGATCAATCCATTTGCCTCCAAGGTAAAGGAACACCTCACTGATTTGTAGGGTATTTGGACAGGTTTGTCTGGGCACAGGCCACAAACTTAGAGTTCTTGTGCCTTGAAACCTCTGTGTTTTAGCCTAATGCATATGCGATTTCAACTAAAAACTTCACTTTACTTTAGCTGTCTCTTTCCAGAATGATATACTCTGTTTTCCTTTCTGCAAGTAACAGGATGTGGCTTAGCAGATTGGAGATTCTGTATATCTTTTAAGACTTTGCTACTGTTAAGATCTAAAACTGTCCCTGCTGCGTTTCACATGGACTATACAGTTTTTGCATAGTTTAGCACGATGGGTTTGCCGTATTAGCATGTGAATACTATCCCTGCAGTCTTCATGGCAGCCACATCTCATGAATCTAGATCTTAGCAAATACTTTGGGATGAATAAGATATTTTCTGGATTTCACATAAAGCTCTCTACCTAATATTTATGAACAAATTGTGGTTTCTTCTGTTGGCTCTAATGAACCATGGAAAGAGATCTGGTGGTCCTGCATGCCAACAATGCGCTTGCTGGAATATTCATGTAATAATAACAGATGTACAAACTCACAGGCACAAGTGAAGCTTATTAAGGCAAAATAATAATACTGATTTTTTTCTAAAACTATCTCAATGAGGCCAGATGTAAATGCAAGTAAACTTGGCCCAGTATTTATAAATAGCTGATTAATGGAATGACATGTTACCAGAAGCATTAAGTACCAGGATGATGCTCTCATCTTACTGAAAAGTTTAAAACCTGCTTTCTTTCCATTGAAACTTTGCAAATAGTTAATCTCTGTGACTGTATACAATATGTTACCTTTTGTCTCTCATGTACACATTTTTCCTCATTCCGTCTTA